TTGGTAATTTTTGTTTTTAGTATTTTCTCTTTTGATGATCTTTTTTTTGTACATATCTAAATATTATATGCACATACATATATACCTATATGTCTGGCATTGCTGGTTAATGAGCTTATGAATATACTTGGATACTTGAGGTAGGTCAGGGATATATTCATAATATACACTGAAAAAATATTACAAACATTATTAGTAATATATAAGTATATATACATTAAGGTTAACTTAGTATCTTTCTTTCGCTTCTTGATACAATTAAATTAGAATTAAATATTGGCAAGGTTAGTTACCTGTTGATCATGAGTTACTATTATGGATTGGATTCAAATAATAAATAACATGAGTATTCTGTAAATTTAACCAATTTGGTCTGATTCTCTGAGGAGGTGTAGGTGGCCAAAATCGGGCTTTACCAACAGCAACAAAGCCATAGGTGGGAGGGTACAGAGGCAGCCTCCAAACGCTGGATGCGCGCTGCTAAGCATATGGGTCAGGTACATTAAGTGAATTGGTAATTGAGTTTAGGTTATACTTGTTCTTGTTGGTTAGTGTGCAAAATTATTTCTGATTAGGGCTGTTGGCTGACCAGAGGTCTGTCTATCCGGTGGTCACGTTATGAACCACGACCAGCTGAAGCTTCGGGTCTGAACGCGAGTGCACACGCCGTGATCACTGGGTCCGGCCACAGACAGATCCTCGTTCGCCCTTGTACAAGTACGGTCAGCCCGCGAGGCTCATAACAGAAAATGGCGCCCAACGTGGGGCCTCAACACGATGGAAGTTTCTATTTAAAGCTTTATCCACCCGTGGCTCCATGATAGAATTCCCTCTTGGAATCAAGCGTCCGTCTGTTTTGTAGAGACATCCTATAGGAAAATGTAACTTTGGGAACTTCAGCCAAGTTAAACCAAGTGTTCTTGTAGCTGACCATTATTACAAATTAAGTTGATTTACGTTTGTGTTTTGTTTAAGGATTTTTCTTGTGGAGGTAAGCAATGTTCGCTGGAATGTGCGATCCTATCGGCTATATGCCAAAAGGAACGTACCGCGTAACTACCTTCTCCACGGAATTATTTTTTTAGCATAACATTCTTTTGTTTTTGTAGTTCAATTAGTTATATGGAGTTTAGTTTCAATTCGACTATATGACAGTTGACTAACCGTTGGCTCATTGGCACTACAAAACAAGAGACAGATAATATCTTTTTTCGATTGAGGTCTCAGTTTCCGTTTCGAGATACGATTTCCATTTGTATTGATTTTTTTATTGTTTTTGAAGATTTGGAATTTTATGGTAAGCGACCTGAACCTTAACTGATTTCTTCAGAAAACTTCAGTATGCTGCAGGCCATATGATTTACTTTTTGTACCACACGCCAATTATATGCTGCATGATTGGACCACCACACAATGCCCTTACGATCAGACCAATTAACTTCTGATAATTTTTTGCTGGTGATATTTGATTTTTGATTTGGAGTACTTTGTGATGCTAATATTTTTTTTATGCGGTCGAGTTTTACTGCTTTTGATATTTTGTAATTTTATTGTCGATTGCTAATGTAGCAAGAAAATTTTGCATACGAACGGTGTAACGTCGATAGTTTCGTCACGTGAGCTTAAACTAATACGCGTTAGTAGGACTGGATTTCTAATCAAACATTAAGATATTTTTTTTTATATCCTGTGCTTTTGAACTTTGGCGTAAACATATTTTCGTAATATTTATTATTTTTTGAATTTTTTTTTGAGACTACTTTGTATAACAATGTCGCCACCGATGCAGACCGTCTGTACGATTTGCAGGGAAAACTTTTCTGAGCGAGATGAGGTACTTGTTACCTCATGCTCGCATCGTTTTCATAGAACTTGTTTATTGTCGTGGCTGAAGAAAAATTCATCTTGCCCACAGTGTAGAGCATTGTGTACCAGTAGGGATTTCCCCCGAATAAAGGTGCTCGTACTAGATCTCGTACTGCTGGTCTAGAAACGTCAAAAAGTGGTTCAAGCAATAACATGAACTTACAGACTTCTAGCGATACCACCCCACAACAATATCCTCAATCAGAAGGCGCCTGTGGTTTACCCATTGCAGGTGTTGGAGCAGCTTCTGGTGGCGACACAACCAGCGCTAAAGATAAAGAAGAAGAAAATCGTGTTAGCAATTTGGTTTCGGCAGTCATATCTGTCAGACACGCGGCTATTTTCGATAACTTAGAAAGTCGAGTTTCCCAACTCATAGAACACCGGGTTGAAAGTACTTTGGCAAATGTTTTAGAACGATTGAATTTGAACCAAGCGCAACCGGCAGTCCGTGGTAGTAATGTTAGCCCTGCTGCTAATGCATCCGCAGCCCATCCTGCACCAAATGGGTCTACACCAACTTGGCCTAGAGATACTCCTCCTTTAGCCAATCTGAGTAATCAAAATTTTATAAATCAGATAGATCAATTGCGTTTGAGTGATGTTTCTAGCATACCGTATTCGGGTAGAGTAGCCCAGCTAATAGCCAGCTGGGATGTTAAGTTCGACGGTACCACCCGTCTATCCGTTGACAATTTCTTGTCCCGTGTCGAGCTACAAGTAATCGATCGTTACAATCACCACTATCTGAAACGGAATTACTCGAAATAATGCAACACAACCTGCGACCGCGTGTTCGTCAGCAGCT